CGGGCCGCCGGGCCAGAGGCCGGAGCCATGGGCGAGACCAAGATCATCTACCACCTGGACGGGCAGGAGACGCCGTACCTGGTGAAGCTGCCCCTACCCGCCGAGCGCGTCACCTTGGCGGACTTTAAGGGCGTTCTGCAGAGACCCAGCTATAAGTTCTTCTTCAAGTCTATGGACGACGATTTCGGGTGAGGATGGCCCCCTCCTGGCCTCCGGGGGAGCCCGTCCCCATCGGCTTCTAGGGGCCACTCGTCCAGTTTGGACTCCCCTTGCGACACTGGCTTCGAGCCCTACTTGGGATTCTAGGAGGCGACTCGGCCATTTGGGCTCCCCTTGGTTTTTTCAGACGCTGGAGTTCCAGCCTCTCTAGGGACTCTCCTTTCGATCTTGTGGGGTATCTTGGCCCCCCCTAGTTTAGGAGGACGTTCAACTCCCCAAGATCAATCAGAGTTCCAGCCCAGGAAGTGCCCTCACCTCTCAGAGACCAGCGGTCCACATAGACAGCCACACCCCCACCCCTCCACCCAGTTCTGGAGCTTGAATCCCCCGATCCTCCTCCGGCCCAGGGAGCCACCTTTTTAGCACAGACTTGGGGAGTTTGGCACTCGGCCTTTGCTTTCTCCATCTTTTCAGCTCCACAATTCCGAGCCATATTTGGAGTACCGTGCATCTCAGGGCTGTGCTGTGGGGACTTTGAGCTGGGGGGAGGGGGCGCTGGGGGTGCTCAGGCCTGCAGACCTGATGTTTATTTAGCTGCAGCCCCTTCCCTTGTGGGGTTGTGTAGGATGTTGTCAAGGGAGCTGCTGATGAGGAGTCCCCACTAGGCCAGATGTTGATTTCCCCTCAGAATTGGGGCCTTTTTCCTCCAGATGGTGGCCTTGGAAAGGGCCTCAGAGCCTGGGTGGGAGGGCCGGAAGAGTCTCTTGGCGTTCTTCATCTTAGCTCCCTGGCGGGGTCTTCTCCTCCACTCAGCTGCAGGGCTTTGGACAGGCGGAGTTTGGAAGCAGCAACTTCCCCTTTAAGAGGGGATGGAATGTTGGAGCCGGAAGGTTCTGTAGCAGCTGGCCTGGGAGGGGGAGCCTGGCCGATCCCCTCACCCCCCCCCTCCCCAACTCTCAGGGTATTGGGGGAGGAGGAGGCCCCCATACTAACTGAGCGATGGGCCTGGAGGCCTGTGGGGAAGGCCTTCCTCAGCCCTCCAGGCCTAAAGGCAGCCTCTCCAGCAATAGCCTGAGGCCTGCACTGCTCTTTGCAGCTGAGGCCCCCAGAGCTGAGTGAGGGGAGACATTCTTCTTCCCAGTGTTCATCAGTCTGGCTTCTCTCCCAGGACCCCAGCCCTCCTGGCCCTGGGAAGCAAGCACCTTCTCTCTCCTCTGCCTGGCATGTTTTGTTGTCACCTTTCCCCCCCGGAACTCAGGGTTTGATGAGCCCATGAGCTCATATGTGTGAAATTGCTTTTACAGTGGGAAATACTCTGCAGCTTCTAACTATTCTTGTTTCTGTTGTTATTCCTACCCTGGGGTACTCCTGGTGTATAATGATTGCCTGGCTTGAGTCCAGAGACAGACACTCCTGATTAGAAGATTCTGAAGAGGGATGGATATGCAAAGGGTATAAGGGAAGGGCAGATGCCTTGGCCTGGTAAGAGAAGAATAGAGTTAGAAGAGACCAAGATACTGCCTCAGGGTATGAGATGGAGCAAATTAGCTGGAGTCCTGTGCACTGAAGCAGATCCCACTCAGCCCAGGTTGCTGTCAAGCCAGGCCTAACTACAGTCCATTACCTCCCCTCACTGTTGACTTAATATTGTCCTTTAAATCTACTGTCAGTCCACTCACTCTTTCTTAGCTTGACCAAATCAATGATATGAAACCACAGATCTGATTTTCTATTTATATTTCTTTCTAAAATATATTAAAAATAAATATTTACTATTGAATTAAGTAATGTTCATTCAGATAATACCTGAACACATCTTGCACACATCACTGGTACTTAAACCATCTTTTGCAAAATATCAGAGTAGGCCATTTTTTTTTTTAAGATTTTATTGGAGAATTGGGGGAGGGGAACAGTGTTGGGGAATTGGGGAAGGGGACCAGCCAAGTTGTTGTTCTTCAATCTTTGTTGTGGAGGGAGCCAGTCACCATCTGGCTTCCCGTTGGCAGCTCGTGGCCTCTAAGCTCAAGGTGCTGTGTTCAGTCTTAGTTGCGGGTGGGCATAGCCACCATCCCATGTGGGAGTCAAACCAGCAGCCTTGTTGTTAAGAGCGCACGCTCTATCCACTGACCCATCCGGGCAGCAGCTCAGCTTAAGGTGCCGAGTTCAGTCTTAGTTCCGGGTGGGCGTAGCCCACAATCGAACAGGCAATCTTGTTGTTACACCAGCTGAGCCTGTTGGCAGCTAAGCGACAGCTCAGCTCCAGCGCAGAATCATTGGCCCATGTGGGAATCGAACCGGCGGCCCTGTTGCTCAGAGCTCGTGCTCTTAAGCCAACTCTTAACCAACTGAGCCAGAGTATGCTATTTTAACAGGGTTGAGAACAATGCTAAAAATGAAGTGGGGGAGATTGATTTTTGTTTTTCTCCTCAGGAGGATTAATGAACAGGAGCTCTAGTAGGGTTATCTTATCACAGAAGACTAATGGTAGATACATATCTATCTATCTATCTATATAGAGATATTTTTTAACACTCTTTTTATTGTGCTTACAGTGTACCAGGTACTGATCTAAATGCTTTCCAAATTTTTACTCATTTAATCCTCTTAAATAGCCCTATGAAGCAGGTAGTAATATCCCCAGTTTACAGATGAAGAAACTAGAGCACAGAAACCTGAAATAACTTACCCAAGGTCACACAGTCTGGGAAGTTAGTGGCAAAGCTTGATTCAACATCAGGAATCTGGCTCCAAAGTCTAAGGCTTTAATCACACAATTGTAGGTATTGTTATTATTATCACCATTTGACAGATGCATCCTCTCTGAGGGAGACGCTGAGCCTTGGCAAACTATAGAGGTGATAGGGCTGCCACTTATCCTAGCCCCATGAGAGGAGGGTCAGGCAGAGGCCAGTGACCCCTGCTGACAGATGGGAAAGTGGGTCAGAGGAGGAAGGCTGCTGTCTCTGAGGTTCTGGTTTGTGAGGTTCCCCCAACTCCCATCTGGTCTCCAGAAGTATTTGTCAAGCTCAGAATAGGCCCAACCCTCTTAAGTTATTTGGGAAATAGAGGAAGAATGAACATTTTTAGCACTGAGGAGAGGGTAGATGAAAGAGTAAGGTACCCACTGCTAGAGTGGCCTTGAGCAGTGGGAGAGGGCAACATGGGAAGTAGAGTCACTAATTATGTTGCTCCCCATTCCATGTCACACAGTGTCCTGCCTCTGGGCCTTCTGCCTTGAGCACTTTTTTTCCCCTGGCTTCTCCAGGTCTAAATTTTCCTGTCCTCTGGGTTGAACTTTTAAAGTTATGGTACTTTTCCCTATTTATCCGTACACCTAGCCAGTTCCTAGCTAGGACCTGATACCTGAGTAACACTTAGCAGATATCTGTCCAGTGACGGCTCAGACCACTTCCCACTTGCAGTATGCTTATGTGAACTGTCCACTGGACTGTAACCTCTGAGGACAAAGCAGGCTTCAGGTCTGATGCTTCTTGAGGTTCATGCAATGGCGAGCCCAGGGCTTAAAACTCATTGGGATCTCAGCAAAGGCTTTTTAATTGCATGAATGATGATTGATGAGCAGATTTATTTGGTTCCTGCCCTTATAAACTTACACCTAATTAGAAAGAGAGTATGGGTCCTGCTAAAGATTGACAAAATTAGAAACTAGCTTTTATTGTATGCCTAGACAGTGCCAGGCATTTACAAATCCCGTTTACCAGGATGAGACAAAGGCTTGGAGGAGTTAAGAAACTTCTCTAGGATGGGAAGGCTAATAAAGGACGGAATTGGAATTTGAACCCAGATTTGTCTGACTCCACTTAGGGGGGGTGTGGTGTGTGTGTGTGTG